CATCCACAGGCAGTCGAGTCTCCCTAGGGAGGGAAGTGCCCTGCTCACTCCACTGTCCTGTCGCCCTTTAGTGGCTCAGCGCAGCTGAGCTGACCCTCAGATGGGAGCCCAGGCGGAAGTGGCCCAGGTGGCAGGGACTCTGAGATGCAAACTCTGAAGTCGCTCCCTCAAAGATGTCCTGGTTTTCTGCTGCTTGGAAGCAAGGGCACAGCCTGGGGGTCTCCTCTGCAGGACCCCACACCGTCACATGAACCTCACTTACAAGGCGAGGAGGTGGTCCAGGACAAATGTGGCCTGTCAGATCATCATGTGTGTTGGCCATGACATTACTTAGGCCTGCGCAGCACATTTGGACTCCAAGTTTTCCAGGCTCAGTGACCCAGAACATAGTTCTCCTGGGTCTTTAACCTCACACTCCTCTCCCCTGACCTCTTCAAAGACTAACCCTGTGTAGGGCAGCCCATCCAACCTAGTCCAACTTCCCATGTCCTCTAAAATGGGGATCCCTGTTCAAGTGTTGGGGGGCGTTCACATCATCGACAACCTGTCCCCAGGGTTCCTGAGGCTGCTGGCCCACAGCCCACTCGTGGTGTGAACCTGTCCTGCTCCCGGCATTCTCACTGTCCATGAATCCACCTCACCTACTCCCATCCGTGAGCTCTGAGGCATTCGTTTTAAATGTTACCAATGTCATCCCCAAGCTTGGTTCCTGATGGGGAAGTATGTGTACACATACACACATGTGCACACACACACACACACACACACACACACACACGCACTTACAGCTAATAAAGAGATATAGCTATGGCTGTGGCATTAAAATCTCCCCAGCTGAGGCATCATTAAGAAAAAGTATCTGAAAAGTCTCTTTAAGAGACCGATAATGAAAAGGTGGAGACACCCTGGCCGAAGGAAACGTCCCCTGCCCCTCCAGTGCCCTTTCCTTCAGTGACGGCCATCTGGTTACAGAAACCAGCAGTGCATGTGCCAGCATGGCCTTTGGAGCTGCCTGCCACCAAACCTGCCACCTTTCTGGACCACGCTGCCCTCCCCTGCAGACCCTGGGCCACCCTGTGTCCCAGCAGACATGGTGCCCACCAACTGGCCTGTTGGTTAGCTGCGTTCCCTGTGAAACTGACATCCAAATGCCCACTTTCAATGCCCTTGGCCTGAGTGTCCCTGCCTTTGCCATTTTGCTGATTGATTAGAACTCTGAGCACTGAGGGGGCTCAGTGCACCCTTTTCTTGGGGGACTAGCACTCACTTCCTGCCCGTATCATCCACAGGCAGAGTCGAGTCTCCCTAGGGAGGGAAGTGCCCGCTCACTCCACTGTCCTGTCGCCCCTTAGTGGCTCAGGGGGAAGATGGCCCAGGTGGTGGGGGCTCTGGGATGCAAACTCTGAGGTCACCTCCCCAGCCAGGCCAGCAGGAGATTCAGGGGGTCGACCCACTCCAGGGCCCCTGTGCCTCACCTGGGGGCAGCAGTCAGTGCCAAGGAGCTAAGAATGTGGGCCTTGGAGTCAGGAGGACACATGCTGAGTGACAGCGGGGACACTTCAACTTATCTGAACCTCAGTTTTTCATTTGTAAAGTGGGTTAATGACTGGCAGAATTCGCTGAGAAGTTAAGGAGGAACTCTTAGCACTCTGTCCTGCCACAAAGAACGATCAGGAAATGGTTTGAAGGAGCTAGCACTGACAGCCTAAGACATTTCTCAGAACATCTGTCCTATTTCTGTCCCCCCAAAACCCTCCAAATTCCCAGGAACCTCTGAAAATTTAGGAGAAAACAAAGCATTCGATTGGCTTACATGGGCTTTGACTTTTCCTGATGTCCTCACCTCCTCCAAGAAGCCCTCCAGATTACCTCCATCATGACTGCTCCCTGACCCTCTCTTCAGAGTTGGTTTCCTGACACCTGCCAAGGACCTATTTGGGGGAGTGCCTGTTATGGTTGACCGCCTTCTCTCCCTTGTTCTAGCTGATTCATTCATCAGCTAAAGCCACCTCTGAGTCTGAGCCCCTCTCCCAGACTGAGTGTGCCTACCGGCCCCCAGCGTCACGGACTGACCAGGCCCACTAACAGGCGTGCCCAGACCTTAGGAAGGGCTGGATCCTCTCCTGCAGCCTGGGCCCGGTTCCCGCCATCCCTGGTAGGTTACCCAGCTGGGAGTGGGGGCAGAGTCAAGGCACCGAGGACAGGGTGGGCTGGATGTGCATTTCACACCCAGGCCTGGGGCAGGGCAGGGTAATACATGACACTTGTTAAACACAGAGCCTCCAGGACTTTGTAGCAAACTCCAAAGCAGCAGAGAGAGGGAGAGAAGCAGCCCACAAGCCCCAGAGGCGAAAGGGAGCTTCCACTATCAACTCCTGAAGTTTTCTAGCTTTCTAGGGCTTTCCTGGATGCTTTCCGCGGCGGCATTTCCAGTACCTCATCCCAGCAGATGGACACACCGAGGCTCGAGTGTCTGACACAGTTGTGGCAGAGCCAGAAATCAAACCCCAGTTGGATTCTATTATGTGACAAAATGATCCCTTCAGTAAGTTGGACCCTAAACTGTACCTCTACCCAAAGCGGGAAAAAAGCACAGGAACCACCCAACCCCGCATGGCCATCTCAGGTGGCGCTTTGCTCTGTGTCTCTGCTTTCTGGTCTGGCCTCCCCTTTTGGGCTGTGGCTTCCTAGACAACAATTAAGTGGGCGCTTCCTGAAAGCAGCTTTCCCTGCAGCTTCACTTCCCCGCTGCACAGACCCCAGGCCAAGAAGCTGCTCCCCCCCCCCCACCCCAACCACAGAAGCAGATCTGCTCCTCCCCGCAGGCTGGAGAGGCTGGGCACATGGAGGCCAGACCCTGCCTCTGTGATTTTACTTTGGAGCTGGAGCAGGGATAAGAAAAGAGGTTTTTCCCTGTAGCCAAACCAGAGCTTAGGGGGACCAGAAGGCTGCCTAGTTTAACCAGGATCCCTGTCCTCATCTGCATTTCCCGTCCATTTTCCTCCTCTCCTCTTCCTCCTCCTCCTCCTCTTTAGCCAGGCTCCTGGAAGGTCCCTCACCCTCCCAAAGACCAGACTCCCAGCTTTTCACATTTCTGAGCCTGCAAAGAGTCTGCGCTTGAAAGAAGGGAGCCTGAGCCCCAGCCTCCCTCCACCTGGCCTCCTCCTTCTCCTCCTCCTTCTCCTCGCTCCCCCCTTCTCCTCATAGCAGGTGCCCAGTCTTTGGGCCACAGAGGCAGCGGAGCCCATCTCCAGAGAAGCAGTGCCAGAGGCCAAAACAGAAATGCCAAGTTCCCGTTCCCCAGAAGGAGGGCAGGAAGACAAGTAATTACATTCCTGGGCAGGAATTAGACCAGAAACTCTAAATTGAGGGCTGGGCAGGGGGCCGGGGCAGAAGCTCAGTGGCATGAGGAGGGGAGAAATAGAGCTGTGCACTCCCAGCCCAGCAGAAGGGAAAGCCAGGAAGGGAGCCAGTCAGCAGAGGGCCCCTGCAGCTGGCCGGTCAAGGATGCAGAAGGCTCTAAGCGCAGTCTGTCAGGAGCTTCAGAAGCGGTCTGCATGATCCAGACCCCTTCATGGACCCCACAGACATGTCTGGCTGCCTTCAGGCTGCACTGTATCAGGCTCCTTACAAAGGGTGGCTACTGGCCCAGGGCACAGCCCCACCAGCAGCTCCTTGCCTCCCCATTAGGGAGCAGCCTGCCTGCTTGGCTTCCAACCACAAGCTCCACACAGCCCTCCTCTAGTACAACAGCCCACCAGGAACCTCTCCTATCAGTGCCTGGAAACTTCACAGCCTGGAGCTGGCCGTTTCCTCCCCACTAAGGGGGTCCATTTCCTGATGCTGCTCCTTCCCCCAGCCCTACAAGGCCATCAGGCCATAGATGCCACAACTGCCCCCCCCCAGACACCCCATTGTGGGCAGGGCAGAGGGTCAGCACCAGCATCCACAGCCATGCCTCTTAACTCTAGTTCCCACAAGCGCCCTCTCCCTGCAGGTGTCTTTCCGACTGTCAGTCCCTGGTCTGTCTGCAGCTGTCTCTGGCTGCACTTGACAAGGGTCTGACTGGGTCCCTCTGCGGTCTCTGCTCAGGCAGGCTCTCTCTTCTGTCTTTCTCCAGCTCTGGCTTTCCAGGCTGCTCTCCTCAGAACTCACTGCCAGGGTCCTTTGTAATGAGCTGCCGGGAAGATGGGCAAGACACTCCCTCCAACGACTGTGCCAGCAAGGCACCGTCTTCCTCCTCCCTGGAGCTGTCCAGAGCTCTGGTCTTCCCTGCCCAGGCTAGCCCCAGAAGGAGGGCAGGGCTGGGCGGCAGACACAGACCTACCCACCAGGGCACGGCTAATGCCAGTTTGCATATTGCTTCATCATGCCATCCCAGTGCCCCACACTGCACACACACACACACACACACACACACACACACACACACACACACACACAGTCCTCCCTTGATCTCCCTGCCCGCAGCCCCAGGCCCAGACAGGAGCCTAGGGCAGACCTACCTGCCTCCCCAAACTAAAACCATGCCTCCCTGCCCTCTATTGGCGCTGCTTGGACCCTTCAGCGTGTGGCTCTCCCCCACCCCACCCAGCCCTCGAGCTCGGGGAGCCCACGGCGTCCCCACCCAGCCCCAGTCATGGCTCTGGCCAGGCCTAGAGAGTGCCCAGATGCAACAGAGTGGTCTGGCGGCAAAGTTCTCCCGCCGCTTTCCACGGTGCCATTTGCCCGTGGCTCTCGGTCTCTCCCTGCGCTCCCTGGCCCCGCGCAGCCCGCCAGGCGAGCGTCACCTCCGCTATGGGAAAAACAAGAAACGTCTCGCGATAAGGATGGGTGCACCGAGAAAGGAGTATCCGCGCGAGTACCCGAGACCAAGGGAGTCCTCAAGTGAAAAGAGAAAGGCTGCAAAGTTCCCGTTCCCTCGGGCGCGTTCCGCTCCGCACGACACCTAGGACCGCGGAGACCCGGAGGCGGCGACAGCGACGGCGACGACCACTCACCTGGGCAGGGCAGCATCTACCCCTGGCTGGGAGGCTCCGAGGCCGGCTCTGCGGGGCGCCCGGGCTCCCCGGCTCGGCCGCGCATCCTTCCCCGCCCAAGTCGGGCTCCAGCTAAGCCCTCGGGCTCTGGCGACTGCGGGCAGATGGTGGCCTCGGACGTCCACGCGGCGAGAGCCCTGAGCGGCTTATTCGGATATATCCATGGCATTTAGCACGAAGAAGGGGAGGGGGAAGCACAACTTGTTCGCCTCTCCTCCAGATTAAAAAAAGAAAAAGAAAAAAAGAAACGAGAATCCCTTCTCAGGAAGATGCCGGTAGGATTTTTCGGAGCGCAGAAGCCTGGGCATTCCCAGGAACCTCGGGGATCTTGAAATGTGGGGTGTCTTCAAGTTCAGACGAGCCTGCCGGTATGTGTGTGTGTGCGTGCGCGCGTGTGTGCGTGTGCCAGGCACTCACACCCACAGGCACACACAAACACACTCCCCCGCACTCCCCGTGTGCACACTGCCCCCACGCGTGCGCGCGTCCTGTCTCGCGCGCGCGCACACACACACATGCACGCACGCACACACACGCGGCGGTCACAGGCACAGATCCGGGAGGGAGCCGGTCGGCTGCGGAGGCAGCGTGGCCAAGGGAGAAGCCAGTGAGTGGCCCAGGAGCCGGAACCCGCGGCCGAGCGCGCGGTCCCCGCCGGCTCCCGGCGCCGCAGCCCCCAGCGGCCGCCCGCGGAGCTGCAAGACTCGGAGCCCGGAACCCGGAGCCGGGGAGGGGGTGCCGCCGAGCGCGCTCCTCCTTTCCGCGGCAAGGCTTGGGCCGCGAGCTCCAGGGGACCCTGATCCCGGAGGCTCTGGCGCGGAGACCCGCACGGTGGCACCGGAAGGGGCCGTAGAGCGTTCGGCGAGCGGACCCTGAGGCCTGGGGACTGGGGGGGGGGGGTGGTCTGGGGACGCCGGCAGCCGCTAGGCAGGGTGGTCCAGGCAGCCCGAGCTGCGTCGCTGCGGCGGGATCCGGGGCTGCCGCCTCACGTGCTGTGCAGGGCGAGCCGGGCAGCCGCGAGCTCGCCGCCTGCCGGAGGAAAACCCGGCCACTCTGGCCCTGGGCGGGGGGGGGGGGGGGGGGCTGGGAGGATCGCGCCTACCCAGCCGGGGGCGCCAGGCTCGGATTCCGGCACCCTAGCTTGCGACCTACGACCCAGGGGCGTCTGGTGCACGCGCACACTGACTTTCTGCAGATGGGTTTGCTCAAACCACGAATCCTTACAACTCTGCGCTCCTTGGATCTTCCCAGCGACCCTCGTGTAACATAATTGGGAACTGAGACCCTGCAGAATAAAGCGACTTGCCCAAAACACGTGGTAGGTGGTGGAGCCCTCACTCAAAGCAGACCCGGGGTGTGACCAGGGCCCCCTCCTCTGGTTATCCTCTCAGACACAGGCTGGGAGAAGCAGCGATGGGCTCTTCCTTCCCGGGGTCTCCAGGGGAGAGGAGCTGATATCTTTCCAGGAAATTAATTGTTGAGGGACCCCAGCTGGGGAGTCCAGGGGCGGGGAGACTGTCTCAGTGCATCTCTTCTCTCCTAGTGGCGAATGTGTCCCATGCACCTGTCCCGGTTACCCACAGGGAGGCACATGTGGCATGTGGATGTGTGTCTGAGGCCAGGATTGGCGCTCCTGGATCCAGGGGAACCCAAGGCCCTGTCTCTTGTCTGGCTGTGCACACAGCCCTGTTCATATCTGCAGAAGCCCAGGCAGGGCGCCATGTGCTGGTCACCCTCCCCAGACGCACCCAGGGAGCTTGAAGGCATGCTTCCCGGCAGTCACCCTGAAAAGTATAGGGATGGGGGGAGAAAGCAGGCCAGGGTGATGTTCTGGAGTTTCAGGAGGGGCTGGGCCCGGGGAGAAGAAAGCCAAATGCGAAAAAACCAGCAGAAATAGGGCGTGGGGTGGAAGGAAGGAAGGAAACAGGAGGAGGAAGGGGAAGGGAGGGAGGAGGGGGAGGTGATTCCCACAGTGTTTTCCTCCTGGCTGAACTCTGGTTTGCATACTCTAGGTGGGGCTCCGGGAGAGGAGGGAAGAGCTCCAGCCCACTCAGGTCTCCGCATCCCCCTCCAAGGGCTCAGGCAGCAGCTGGGTTATCACTGTGCCCTGCAGTCACCCAGGAGAGGCCAGAAGGAGTGATGCGGACAGGGCCAAGCCAGCCCCAGATCAGAAAAAACGAGCTGTTCTGGGAAGCCAATAAAGCATTAGAATGATGTGAAGGAGGAAAAAGGCACCCCGAGAAGAGTCGGGAAGCTCTGAGGATTTCCGGCTTACTTTTTCAGTTACACCTGCCTCAGCATAAACTGAGCACCGAGCTACAAGTCAGGTGGTCAAGTGGCTTTGTAAGGACAGATGTGATGAGTCTCTTCCCTCCAAAGGGGTCAGATGTGTGCTTCCTAAGAGCCTTTGCAGTTCTGGGGAGCCCTGAGCAACCCTAGTAATGTTGGGAAGCCAAGAAAAAAAAACATTGTACAACCACTTGTATCATGGGAAATTCTCATGTGATCTTGGATCACAGAAAAATGGATAATGGTGGGTTTCCTGGTTCCTTGAGCAAGCCCAGAAGGTCTGGGTAGGACACTATGATACCTGCCTGCTTTACTGGGCTCTGATCATAGAGATGAGCCAGGGCTCCCCAAAGAGGCCCTGCCATTGTTCCATGCAGGGAGAAAGAAAAAGCCACCGCCCACGGTGGGATCTGGATGCTTCACCTTCATCCTTCTGAACCACCCTGTGATGGGCATCTTGGTGCCTAGGTCTTTGCCCATGCTTTGTTTCTTTACCCAGGCAGGACCCCCTGAAGGAATCCCTGGGCAAAGCTGTGAACATTTCCAAGCCTCCTTGTGCCTCTGTCTGTTTCCAGCTGGAGCCAAGACTTGAGGTGAAGGGTGGAGGAACGATTCCCCAGGGAGCTGCAGCAGGAGCTGGAGGGTATTTCCATGGGCCCTGTCTTGTGTCATCTGCACAGTGGACTGTGCACACATGAAGGCCACCCTCCACCCCTCAACATGACCCAAAACCCTAGTGCAAAGAATATTACCCCTCAACATGATCCCAGAACCTTAGTGCAAAGAGCATTCTAGCTACCCCCTGCTTCCCTTAAAGCCACCTGCTCTCTGGGTCACCCTTATCCAGTCAGTTGTCTGCATCCATTGGCTGCTGGCTAGAGCAGAAGCACTGGTCCCCTGGTGTGCAGCGGGGCATATGGCTGGCTCCCAGCACCTGCTTGCTGAGTGGAACCTCAGCGTCTGATAGGGAAGTCCACAGGAGGGGCTGGAAGGAGAGACCACTCAGCCTGAGAAGAAGGCTGAGTTGGCCTGGGCCTTGGTGTCCTTCGGAGAGACCACGATGCAAAGGACAAAGGCACACCTCTCTTTGCTGTGTCACTGAGTGTGAAAAAGACAGGAAACTGCCTTAAAATGCAATGTCATTTTAGACATTGACACGGGATTGGTTACCTGAGACGGTAGAATCACAGAGTGGATGCTATTAAACCTGCTCCATTAAAGGAGAGGTGCGATCACAGTCCTGGGGGGCCGCTGGATGTTTCTTACAACTTCCCTCATCATGGCAGTCTTGGGAATGGCTGTGGGGCGGGGTAATGATCGAGGCCCTGGAACTCTGTCACTGGAGGCCCTGGGAGCTCCTTCCATGGTGTCTACTGCATGACCCAGAGCTGTCCCTGGGTTCTCCCCATTCATTCAACTTTCTCCAGCCAGACACTCAGCCTGTCCGGGTTTGCCCCTAGGCCTGGAGGCCATGGTGTGGCAGTAGCGGCAGCAGCCTGTGACCCAGAACCAGGCGGTTCCTGCAGTTAGTTCCACAGGGTTCTCCTCCCTTCCTCCTTCCCAAAGGCTAGAGTAAGAGTCGACCAAACAAACTCCTATTAGTATGCATATGTATTCCCACATTCCTTAACAGAATGACTAACACCACCTACAGCCATTAGCTGAGTTTGTTTTCTAAATCCAGTTTACTTTCTGTCATCCAGCCCTGTTTACCACTTCCCGTCCCCCTCCCTCCTTCCCAGCCTTCTATCCATTCCCAGGGGGCAGGTTCCTGAGGCACGCAGGGCTCAGACCCTCCTGGCCACCAAAGTCAGGCACCAGAGAACTTGTGACTGAGCATCTTCCCTGCGGGGCCTACCACTTTGATACAAGATAGAAGGCACAAAAGGAGACTGAAGAGACCCACACCAGTGCTGGCTCTGGGGCCTGCAGGCTATAGAGCACTCCCAGACAAGCATGTTAGTTCACCCCCCTGTAATCCCAGCACTCTTCGAGGCTGGGGCTGCAGGATCTCACGTTCAGGCCCAGTCTGGGCAGTTTAGCAATTCAGTAAGACCCTGTCTCAAAAAATAAAATAAAAATAAAAAGGGCTGAGGGTGTAATTCAGTGGGAAGGCCCTGGGTTCAATCGCCAGTACTTAAAAAAAATTCCCAATGTTTCCCTACTGATTGGGCACAACAATCACACAGATCATGATCCCCATTTTTCAACAAAAACACCGAGTCCCTGACTGATAACACGCCAGCTCTGAGAGCTTGGAGATGTTGACTGATGATGCTGGATTACAAATCGAGTCTTCAGACCCCGCATCTCTGGTTCCTTCTGCGGCTGAGGCAGCCCCTCTTATTCTAAGTGGCAGATGGCCTAGGGCAGCCTGGTACACCCTCAGCTGGGGGCAGAGCAAGGCTGGGGGAACACAGCTGGCTTCACATAGGCTCTCCAGCCCTCAAGGACCACAAGGACCTGGGCACACTTAGGAGATTCTGGAATTTAGTGGTGTGGTGGAATGAACAGCAATGAAAAAGATATGGATAGAGAACCCGATTCCTAGTGTGACCTTGGGCAACTGTCCCTTTGTCTGGGCCTCAGTTTCCCGGCCTCTAAAATCACACAATCAAGACTAACTGGCCTCTTGGAGCCAATCAAAAGCAAGAGCCATTCAAAGCAGAAAACAGTAGATGACAGAGACTTCCCTGGTGTTCTGTCACCTACCAGGGAATCCCCAAATTTGAAGGCTGATATTGAACCAGGATCTCACAAAGTGGGCTGTTGCAAGTGTGTGGCAGATCAGGGCAGGACCACAGCTCATTGCTGGGGCCTTGTCCCCTCTACCCTGAAGCCCACACCTCTCTTGGCAATAGCAAGAGTGCAGGGACCGTGTGACAGCTTCTCTCTGCCCTGGATGGCAACTGTTCAATTTAATTCTCATAAAAACCCAGTCAGGGCCTAGTATTATCCCCATTTTACAGATACGGCAACCAAGACCCAGGCAAGCTACATAAGCTGGGTCAGGGAGGTGGGAGGGAGCAGGTCTATAGTTCTAACCCTGACATGCCAACTCCAGTGCTAGAACGGGTTGTTTGGGCAGTGCATTTGTTTAGAGAGGATTAATAGGAGCAAAATCACCATCTAAGGAGAATTAATAGAGGAAAATCACCATCTCTGCCCCAATATGGCCAGAGCAAACCCTCCTTTTTCCTACTGGCTCCTGTTTCCTTCCGTCACCGCTCCCTGCCTCCTTTATGCATTGTTTGGAACATACAGTCATAAGTGTGCGGTTTGTTTTATAATCCAGTCGACTGTGGAAGCGCAGCCATTGTCATTTATGTCCCTGCCTCAGCACCGTTCACCCGAGAGATTTATCGAGGTACGAATTGACTGACTACAAGATTCTTTCCATTCCTTAATCAAGTCCTTGGCTCCTCTTTCAAAGAGACTTGGAGAATGGAGCAGAAACCAACCTATGCCTGTCCTGAGCGGGACAATAATTCAATTTAATCTAATAAAACTGCCTTTGTGGCTCCACATGAAAACTACAGAGAAGGATTAAGGGAAGAATCAGCCATGGCCCCATCCTGCACTCTGGCTGCCCTGACCAGCCAAGTACCCAGATAATTGCCGTATAGAATCACAGGGTAAAAACAGAAAGTGTGGGAGACATTGTGTATTTACAGAATAGAGATCATCTCAAAGCAGATAAGTCAGATAAGACTTCAAGGGCAGGATGACAGATAAAAGATGAATAACACTTGAAGGATGATAGTGTTTTGACTGGGAAACAGATGAGAGGAACTGGCAGGAGCGGCGGGGTAAGAGTGTGGGTGGAAGGAAAGAAGAAGGACAGTAAAATGGGTTTAGGACCGTGGAGAGTTTCCTGCGTGACCAAATCACAGGGCAGGAGATGGCCTGGTGGCTGGGATGTGGGCTCAGGGGTCAGATTTGGAGTTAAATTCAACACCCCCCCCCATCCAGAAGGAAAGTTCTTGGGAACGTTATAAAATCTTTGTCTCCATTTGTTCCTCAGCCAAGTGGGAATAATGACAGTGACCTTCGTGGGATGGATGAGAGGCGTCTAAAGAGAGTCCTCCCAGCCAAGTACGGTAGTGCTCACCTGTAATCCCAGCGCTTCTGTTCTTTTATAGTTGTTTTTCTGCAATCATGACTGGGTGTGCTGGGGAATAAGCACACAGTAGGCTGGCTCTACGTCAAACACAGAGATGATGGGTCCAGATCCCTTCCTACAGACCCCTGAGAAGCACTGCAGGGTTTTGAACTGATCTGCATGGGGACTACCAGGGAAGGAACCAAAGAAAGGAAATCAGTTGTGATGGTTTGGATAAATGTCCCCCAGATGTATGTGCATTCAGGGATTCCTCATGGGCATGTGATGCTATCAGGAGGTTGTGGAGATTTTAGAGGTGGAGCCCTAGTGGGAGGTCAGTGAGGCCTGTGTCCTGGAATGGGAATCTGAGCCCGTGGTCTCTTCCTCTTCTTATTCTGCTTCCTCTTCTTCTTCTCCTAACCATGAGGTGAGTATTTTTGCCTCTTATTGCTGCCATGATGAGCTGACTTACCACTGACTCAAAATCAATGGGCCTGTGGGCTGAAACCTCTAAAACTGTGAGCCAAAATAAACTTTTTCTCTCTATAAGCTGATTGCTTCAGATGTTTGTTACAGTAACAGAAAACTGACTAACAGTAGTTATAAATTTACTGAGAGAGTTTCCAGCTAAGGGGAGAGAAGAGGTCAGTCCAATAGTAACAGTAGAAATTGATGTGAGAAATGGAATAGAGAGGACTCTGGAGATGACCAGATTGGAGTCAGCATGAAGAATGGTTGGTATCCTTGGGAAAGACTGAAAGATGAGAGAGAGCAGGAGAGGAGGTGGGGGTGATGGATTTCATATGGGATGTGGGGTACTGAGAACTTGGCGACACCCAGATCATCTTATCTGGGACAAGAGTAAACAGATAGGTGGAGGAAATGGTTAGCCGTAGAACGGAGGTGAAGGTCATGAGAATGGAGGAAATCCCCAGGGGACAAAGTGTAGGGTGAGAGAGAGGTGGGGTTAGGGACCTACACTTACTCATCTGTACTCCACACAGGGTCCTGCTGTAGTCCTCACACCTGTTGACAGGAGTCTTTTCCTCCTGCTTTGGAGAGATCAGTTGGCCCCTACTGATGGACAAAGAGACATAGTACCATAAGGTTAAGGTCTCACTGCAAGTGAGAGAAGACAGGTAAGGAGACAAAGATGCTCACAAAGGAACTGAGGAAGTGCAGGGTTTGGAGCTTAGCTTCCCAAAGATTCCATGCTGGAGCTCACAAGCAGTATTGCATGTGCATAGAGGGTAAGTAGACAGTTGCCCGTCACCGGAGGTGGTACCGATGTACGGAACAACAAGCCTGACACCTCCAGTCAGAGCAGAAACTCCCTGCTGCCCCAAACTCCTGTGTTTCACTGTTGCATAGTGTGAAGGTCCATCTTGAGGTCTCAGAGTAAGGAACTGGGCAGCCGTGGAAGGAATCACAAAGTGTACTCAGGCAGTGGTACAGTTAGTTCTGTGGTTTGATCACCCGTTTGTCTAAATGGTGTGCCTGGCCCAACCCGTGGCCACTCACAGCATACTTGTGAGCCACCCCAGCTAAAGCTCCAGCTCAGAAGCTGGTTAAACAGTGAGCTTGAGGAACAGGAGGACGGTTGGAGAGCTGCCTGGCACGGTAATCCAAAGGTCATCGCTGGCCTTTAAGAGAGCAATTTCTGCAGCATGATGGGTGTGAGAGCCAGATTGCTAGTGGCTGGGACTGTGTGGGAGGTGAGGAAGTAGAGGCGGTGAATGTATAATACTTTTTTGAGAAGTTTAGCTGTGAAAGGTGGGATGGGAACTCTGAAGAAATCGAAGTGAAGGGAAGACTTTCCTGGGGGTGGGAATCTTGGGAGTAAGACAGAGCAAAGCAGCCAGTGGAGAGAGAGAGAGAGAAAGGGAGGGGTCTTCCCATGCTCTGAGAGGGCAGGAAGGGACTCCAGGAAGGAGAAGGGGCCCTTCTTCCTCAGTCACTAGCGGAAATGGACAAGGATACGGAGATAATGCAGGTACAAGGGGAATAGGGTGTGGACTTCATAAGCTGAAAGAGACAAGTAGCGGAAGTTGGATTTGGGGGTGAGGAATGTTGGGGTGGCTCCTTGGAGAGGAGGGTGGCAGAGTTCAGAGGACAGGCCCCAAGGGTTCAGACAGAAGAGGGACCCACTGCTCACATTTTGTGTGGCGAGAGCTCTGTGGGGTTATTGAGACTTGTCCTTGTATTGGCCAGTCTAGGGCCAACAGAAAGAACTAAAGGATGTGTGCTGGGTGGTTTGGGGTTCATCAGGAGGTAGTGGGGTTACATGAACTGTAAGCAATCACAAACGTAAGTTGTGGGTTCCTGATTGAAAAGGACAGAGAGTATAGGCAAGGATTACTAGACAGGGCATCAGTGGTCTTGTTCTAAAGGTAACGTAGGAGTTCAGTAGACACAGAGGAATAAATAGACAGAGATGGAGAAATAACAATTTGTAGCCAGAGCTGAGGAAAACATGGAGCCCAACCTTTGAGGGTTGTGTTTGATGCTGTGTGTTGTCTAGAGGCCAATTATGGCCCTTTTGTAGTCTCCCCTGCACTTCATGGACTTAAATGATTGATAAACGTCTTTCCACAACTTTATTTCTTTATTTAATTGCACATATTTATGGGTAGAGTGTAATAACTCCAAATATGTATACAACATGTAGTAATCAAATCAGGGTAATTAGCACTAGTGACTCTAAATATTTTTCATTTCTTCATTTTGGGAGCCTTCAAACTTTACTCTTATAATTCTTTATAGGATATTTCCCTATATTTTGTAAAGTACTTCATAAACTTCTTTATAAATTATGCTCAACTTCCAGTTCTCTAGGCTGAGGAAACTGGAGACCAATATCTGAAAGCAATGGAGAAGACCTCCAAAAAAGGAAGCACTTCTTTTTTCTTTCCCTTTTTATTCTTTCCAAGCTACAAGCCTATTGGTTGGTGCCGCCCACATCTGGGCAGGGGGCCAAGTCTTCCTTCTCAGTTTGCTGGTTTACATGTCAATCATCCATAGACACACCCAGAATTTACTAATCTGATAGGTGATTCTTACTCAAGTCAAGGTAACACACCACAATTCACCATCACACCTCCTATCTGACGCACTTGGATGCTCCTCAAGGGCCTGCTAATTGGAACAGTAATGTGACAGGAGAAGGAGGCCATTGATGCTTGCTCTGGTAGAGGAAGTCACAGTATCAAGGGTGCTTTCTCCTGGGATTTTGCCCAGTTTCTACAAAGAATGTGCTTATGTTAGGGATTGTCAGAACCCGGTATGTGGGTTATGCTTTTGCTTTTTCAGCTCTATAGACAGTAATGGCACCCTGATGTCTCCAACAACTGGATAACAGCTCTTTCTCTTTTGTTTTTCATGATCCAGCCAACGTGGATCGTGATGCAATTTCTGTAAGTTAAATTCCCTGTCTGAAATATATGGGATGATTTCTGGTTTCCAGATGCAACACTTTTACCTGATAGCAGAGCTCAGGATGTGACGGGGTCTTTGAATGGAAAGAGTGAGGTAGAAATGAAGACCTTGGGGCGGGGAGAATCACAATTAGAGAGTTAACACTGAAAAGGTTGAAAGTCCTGAGGATGCTTTGGTGGAGGTGAGAACACTCACACTTCATCAGAGTCTGGGTCCTCTTGCAATACTGAGCATTTCCCCCAAATATTCCACCCAAGTTTTCCTTCAACCAGAGCATCTTCCTTCTCCCTTAAGTTAACATCCACTTCTGTACTCTTCTGGCTGCTCCATGATCAGAATGGCCTGCTTGTCGACCACTTCCCCCAACACTTCTTCCTGAACTAGACCCTTTGCACAGCTCTCCTCCTTCCTCCAGTTCCCAGGAGTGGATATTGTGGCATTTGTAACATCTCATTGCTTCTTAAAAGAGTTTCTTAATCCAGAGCTTATGGATATCCTAAAGGGAGCTAGGACACACCCAGAACATACAGGCAAACCTACATGTATGTGCATATATGTATTTTTAAGGGACGGGCTATCCTATTTCTCACATTTTCAAAGGAATTCTTTATTCCTTCACTGGTTTAGGTGTGAGGTAAAGAATAATCATGAATAGGGTCCTGGGCACATATTTTGTTCATGATCTCTAATGTTTCTCAAAATCTCAGAGAAGTCATTTTTTTTTTCATTCCTGAAATCTCAGTTTCCTCATCTGTAAAATGGAAACATTAATCTCTATCTCTCTGGGTTGTTGTAAGCACTAGAAACAATATGAAACATGATCGTGGTGCCTGCCACATTTGGTTTTAATAAATGTCAGCTATCAGTAGTGGGCTAATTTGTTTTCCTCCAGACACAGACCTTTAGGCAGGGGAATTAAGTATGTGCATTTTGTTTGGGAAGCGACCTGGAACATGTCAGTAGGGATCATATCACTCATTGCCACTGGGAGATCCCTGAGAAAGGGGGTGAACTCCATCCTGAGTGATCCCTCTGGGGTGAGGTACTGCAGTGTTACCCACCTACTAGCCATCTATGAGTGGCCAAAGGCTTTCTGGGACATTAACTCTGCAACACACCTGGCTTATTGTGGCCAGGAAGAGCCCTGGCGGTTAAACTCTCAGGTGTTCACAGCAGCAACTTGTTGTATACAGGTGTGAGCTCAAGCAGGAACAGCAGGACAAAGGCCGCAACTGCCAGGGTGCCGAATCTGAATCCTTCCCTGTCCCCAGGACCCGGGCTGGCAGGCCTCCCTCTGCACCCCTCAGCTGTAGCTTGTCTGCTTTGTTGGAGTGTGCTGGACTTGTGTTATGCTATCGTGTGCACATCTCTGCCTCTCTGAGAGGACGTGAGGCCCTTTGAAGACAGGAGGTTCTATCTCACCCTGTTCTCTGATGCCAGGCTCTGACGTAAGGACTGGTAGACGATGGAAATATCCCCTGCATGTTGAAAACGAATTATCTGCCATCGGAGTGGCACTTTGGGGGCTATCTGTTGATCTCACTCTGCCAGAGAAGTGGCACTGTGTGGCATTCCACACACATGGTGGATTTAATGTCCCTTCCTGTTTTGTGGCAGGTGCCTTTATTACACAGCGTGCATGATTGGCCGAATCTCCTGCCAAGAGATTCATGTCTCAATATCATAATCTCCAAAGCAACGATATTAGAAATTCAGTTTTAAAAGGAACTGTTTAGGGTGTCAGCATGTTATGACAATTATCTGGGAGGATCCTCCCTTTCTGTTTCTTCTTAAACTGCGCTAGTAAGCTCTTTTGCACCTTTGTATAAAGAGCAGGAAGAATATGGACTATTTATATGTACGTCCCCACCCCCACCCACATTCTTTATTTCCCACCCTGTCTTGCCAGCACATGGGGAGCATTCTGTGTTCCCCAGAGCACACGCCTGAATAAGCCTGATTGCTTTCCTGTATTTCTTTATAAAACTTTAAATATTCATCACGCCATCAAATTAAATGAGATTCTTCGGCTGTCATTCTCTTCAATACAGAGTTCTTTTCTCTAGTACCTGCCCTTCCGCCATTGGAAGCCTCTGGAGACTGGGCATTTATGTAGCATCATTTCCAATCAAGAGAAAGGGATGCTAATGAGAATAGCGGGTGGGCGGGGCTTGAAGCGGAAACCAGGAAAGCAGCACAGAAACACTGCTGATTCTCCTGGCCCAAGGGATTGAGGCGAATGGCCTGATGGGAAGGAGACTCGACAGCGAGGGTCAAGGGTGAAGTGGAAATTCCCCACCAGGTTTATGTCAGCCTTCTTTGTTCCCTCTGGGCCAAGTTTAAGGGCAGAGAAAATAGCCCTTCAGGACTTCAGTATTCTTGGAGCAGAAACAGGAACCTCGATTAGATGTTGAAGGCTCTTCTAGCTCCTAAAAAACTTGACGAGAAAACGAGAAAAGCCCCGTGAGGAACCTCTAGGAGAAATTGGGAGGGCGGAAGGACGGGAATATGCAGATCCGGCTGGATATTTTATAGCGTCGCCTTAAATTGCAATGCAATACATTATATTTTAATCTACTTCCCCTGCCTGTGCGGTCCCTTCAAGAGGAAATCGATCAACGGTCAGCAGACTAACGTGCTGGGGAAGGAGTCACCATCCGCGCACTCTAGTCATTTATAACCAGCCTGAAGTTGGATAATGCCCAGCAGGCGATGGCCTCCGCGCAACAGCAGAAGCAATCGGCGACCCGCTGGAGCCCAGCGCGGGCCAGGAGCCACTGCAGGCGGGCCCTGCGGCAGTCCGCACTGCACTGCGCGGTCCTCTCCAGACTCCCCTTCCCGCAGTGCAGGGCTTTGCTTTGGAGTTGGTCCCGTTGAGGGCCAACGTGCTTCAGCACCACGCTGTGATGGACAGCGCACCGCGCGCTCTGGACAGGGTTGGCTTTCCCCAGGAAGCAATCTCACCTGGATCAAAGTGTGAGAACTGGCCAAAGCCTCATTGGGGTCCTCCCAGCAGGAGCGCCCGCTCGCATCGTGGACCAGGGTCAGGTCCGTTTCTCTGGGCCTCCGCTTTTTCATTTGCAAGTGACGGTGGTCCGTCCCAAAGGGATCCCAGAGTCTTGCTTTCCTAGGAATTGTGCTTGTGAATGAGGTAGATGCCTGTAGACAGAGGTTTTCAGGTCTTGCAGGTCATCAGAACCACTGTGAAGAGACAATAAACTGCGTATTCCCGGGTACAACTGTGGAATGTTGATAGTGCTTTGAGGGACGTCGGAGAATGCGTATTTTTAACACACATTCTTTGGCTCTTCAGCACTAGTCAGAGAAGAGTTTGAGAGCGATCGCATCAGAATACTTCTTTCTCCCGAGGTTTGATCTCCACCCAGGCGTCCTTGCCCTCATAACTGTGATGCCTGCTCACCGCAGCGTCCCTATGCACAAATGACTTTTAATTCTCTAAGCTTTCAAAGCGTTCATATGATCCAAGCTGATCTTAGGTTTTCTCAAAGATAAACAGTATGGAAGACAAAGCACCTGTTTGCAAAGAGGACGTGATCTCACAGGGTAGGCAGCTGGCTGGGGTCCAGTGCTGGTGCCCAGGAAGGGTGTGTGGTTGAGGGTTGTAGAAACAGACGCAAGTTTTTGGAGGCTGTTTGCTCACACAGTGAGACAGACAGCATCACCTTTGGGTGGAGATGTCACTTCCCTGGGCCTGCTGCATAGGTTTTTCGTGCACAGTGTCCCAGGTATCAAAAGAAATTCCATCGGTGGCATGCAAATTACCACCAAGGACAGCCATGGCCATTCTGCTCATTCATCATGGGGCCTCAGGGGATACCTGACTTACTCCATTCTTCTGCAACATGATCCTTCTTTTATCCTTTCCTTGTCTTTCTTTTCCCCAGGGTTTCCCCTCTCTCCCCCACTTACCTGTTTCTCTCCACTCTGATGGCTCCCTCCCAACAATCTCTGTTTCCTTCACACCATTCCTTGTCCTCAGCTGTGAGACGCTGTCTGTGATGAGCGTGGCTTGCAGTAACCACTGGGGAAAGAGGTTCTTGAACAGATGGAGTCGGGTTGCTCATCACAACACATTATTCTAAGAGTAGGATGAGGTGTCAGCTTAGGACAGAGGCCCTGAGGCCAGCTTTGTGTTCAAGTCTCAGGATTATCAAAGCCAGTCCTGGGTGGCAATCAAAGTCCCTACAAGTAATGCAATCAGACTGGCTCAGCATTGCTTATGGCTCCCTTTACCCAGAGGGATACACATCAGACTCCTTCCTTTCTTTGCAAATAGAGTCATTCCACTCTCCTCTCCTATCCTTTTTTCTTACTCTTTCTCCCTTCCCAACCCACATAGCACACCATTATGACTCTTCTCTGGACCAGATGCTTTGGACATCTATCCCTGGTTCACCTTACAGACACATGTCTTTCTGAATCCCCCAAACCCTTGCCTTTCATCCAAGAGGTCACTGTGTTGGAAAACTTCTATTTCTTTCCATGCAGCCTCCCATTTTCTCAGAGTCCATTCAAACCTTGCATGTGACTGGCAAGTGTAGAAACTCTTTTTTCAGTCCTGACAATTCTTTTCATAAAACAAGGTGATCATATTCCTCTTCTGCATGAGTCTAATTATTCCAAGCTTTTGCTAAGGAGAGATACAGATAGATAGATAGATAGATAGATAGATAGATAGATAGATAGAAAATCAGACCACTTTCTCAACTCCATCAAGGGAGGTTTGGAATGAATATTTCTGCTCTTCCTTTATCTCCACATGAAGTTTCAGATGGAGGTAATAACACATACCATTAAGGTTTCCATTGTATTTTTTTTGCCTTGAATCATAACCCTTTTTAAGAGTCATTGCTGGGACTATCTTGGAACATGCAACTTTGGTGATTTCTCTTCCTTGAGTCTAATTCCTGTCTTCCTATCTGGTTTGGTGTCTGCTGTCAGAGGCAACACCTAGAGG